TGGGTACAGACAAGGCCTAACTGTGACTTGACCGAACATTTATCAGTGTCTGGATTAGCATTTAGCGAACACTGGAGTAAAAATTCTAGTGTACACTTAACTTTAGTGTTACCTGTCAGCTCTGTGCTCTTGGGGAACCAGGGTGCAGTATCCAGCCTGTCTGACTCATGAAGGACACCCCCACCCCCAGCCTCTGCTTGAACCAAAACCAATCAGAAGAAAAACTGAAAAGGCCGTGGGAGACTCACCTAAACCCCTGGGACAAGGGTGACAGGATTAAGGCTACTCCCTTAGCCTCATTTGCATTAAAAATGGGACAGGGAGGAATCCCTATTAGCATACAGAATGGAGAACAGAAATTCCAAGGCAAGAACCGCACTGAACTCTGGGACCAGAAAAGCAAGGAAGCACTGCATGATGGGGGATCTGTGCTCCAGGTGTTAATGAACCCACGCCCGCACACACCCAGCTCAGCAGTTATCAGACCAATTCTAGTAATAAATCCTTTATTGGTATCCAAAATACTGAAGCTGCCTAATTGCATTGTGAGCTCCCTGGAAGGAACACTGCCCATAGCCAGGAATGAGCAGTTCCTATTGTCTACCCTGAACAAAACAACTTTGGCATACTCTCTTGAGCCATCAGTTTACCCATAAACAAATCTAGTCTTCTCCCTTGAACCATTGTTCTTTCCCTACAAAAACCCTGACCCATGCTGAAGTAAGTGTTCTGATGCCTGGATCCAAAATCTGCATCAGTTCTATTGGGACTTCATCTTCTCCTGACTGATCGTGGTGGGGGCTCTGCCTGTCTCCAGCACTCCGGACCCTCAGCTACCACCACCTGGGACCCCCGATCGATTCAAGCTTCACGGAGTGGTCAGAACCCAGCTCTCTCTCGCTCTCTCTCTAGGTGTAGCCTTCTGACCCTGACGTGTGTGATCAGTTATAGTTTTCTAAACCTGACTTGTATAATCAACTGTAAGTTAGATTTAATATTATAACTGCTTCGTTTGGAAAAAGAAAAGGAGGACTTGTGGCACCTTAGAGACTAACAAATTTATTTGAGCATAAGCTTTTGTGAGCTACAGCGAATACAGACTAACACGGCTGCTACTCTGAAACCTGTTTTGTTTGGCTCACTTTGTATGGTTATTACCTGGCAATAAATAACTTGCATTATTAAGCTGGTTGCTTCTCTCTCTCCTCCTCGTGGGTGTTTTTTGGTTTCCTCATTCACTTTGCAGCAACGCTCTTCGTACCTAAGAGAAAAGATCCCTGCAGCGACCAAACATCCTGTGGGATTTGCTCATCAAGTGGGTTACGCCCAGAACAATTGTAACGTGAAAGTGGGGATCGGGACGTGCTGAACCTGGGACGTATGAGGGTAACAGCTGGGAAATGCTGCTTGACCCAGCCTGCTGCATCCAGGGACATAAGGGATCAGCTTGGGAGTGCTGATGAACCCGGTCCTCTCAGAGGCGGTGGTGGGTGTGGGTGTGAGAGAGAGAGATTGAGATTCTGGGAACCTAGGTCCTGCAGGATGGCTCCACTGGGAGGGACTTGCAGCAGGGAGAAGTAGAGCTCCCTATGAGAACACGAGTGACACAAGCAGTGCACGGATAGAATTACAGACCCCCCCCAGACCTCCCCAGAAGAGTCACCCTAATAAATGACCGTACCCCAAAGTAACGGGCAAAGCTGGTAACATTGGAGCCTGAGTCTCATTTACCCTGCTCTGTTGTGCATGGTAGGTAATTACACAGTAATTGTAACGAAAGACCGATTATTAGAAAACCTCAGCCCTTATGAATGCTTTACATAGGAAGGTAAATAGATTGATTGATTGATTGATTGATAAGTGCCTCTCAACCTTTCCAGACTACTGTCCCCCTTTCAGAAGTCTGATTTGTCTCGCATACCCCCAAGTTTCACCTCACTTAAAAACTACTTGCTTACAAAATCAGACATAGAAATACAAAAAGAACGAGGAGGACTTGTGGCACCTTAGAGACTAACAGATTTCTTTATTATTATTATTTCGTCTCTAAGGTGCCACAAGTCCTCCTCGTTCTTCTTGCTGATACAGACTAACACGGTTACCACTCAGAAATACAAAAATACCACATCCGATGAAGTGAGCTGTAGCTCACGAAAGCTTATGCTCAAATAAATTGGTTAGTCTCTAAGGTGCCACTAGTCCTCCTTTTCCTATTGCTGACTTTCTCCTTGTTACCATATAATTATAAATCAATTGGAATATAAATATTATACTTACATTTCAGTGTATAATATATCAAGCAGTATAAACAAGTCATTGTCTATGAAATCGTAGTTTGTACTGACTTTGCTGGTGTTCTTTATGTAGTCTGTTGTAAAACTAGGCAAATATCTCGATGAGTTGATATACCCCCGGTAAGATCTCTGCATACCCCAAGGCTACGTGTACCCCTGGTTGAGAATCACTGAGAGAGAGAGAAAGAGAGATGGGGTAAGGGGATAGATAGATAGATAGATAGATAGATAGATAGATAGATGGGGGGTATGGGGACAGATAGATATACGGAGTGTATGGGGATAGATGGATAGAAGGGATGTATAGACAGATAGATAGACAGGGTGTACGGAGATAGATAAATGTGTATCTGGAACCCATTAGCCGTCCAGTCCTCTATTCTACCACTTGCCAACCTTCTTGTGGCCTGTTTAAAGGGCCAGCCCTTCCCTAACATGCCTGGCTTTGATGCGAAGGCTGATGTGTTCATTTTTTTACCTGGCTCTCTCAGTTTCTACAAGGAAGGTTAGGGCTCAGCTGGGGTTCTCAGATTTCCCTGCACTGACCATAACTAAAGCACAGGGAAGCAGGACACCTGAGTTCTATTCCCAACCCTGCCACTGCCTGCCTGGGTGACTTTCTGTGAGTCGCTGTGCTGCTCTGTGCCTCAGTTTCCCCATCTGTGAAATGGGGATAAGGACACTTACAGCCTTTGTAAAGCACTTTGAGATCTACTGATAACAGCCAGGGATTATTATTTGTATAACATGAGCAGGTCTGGACTCCAGCAGAGAGGGGGACCCCTGGTACTTGGCGCTGCACAGAGACAGTCCCTGCCCCCAAAGAAGTCAATCGAAACAGATGAAGGGTGAGACGGTAAACTGAGGCACAAAGAGGAAAATGGCTTTATCCCGGTTACGCAGCAAAGCTGGGACTAGAATCCAGGAGTGCCGAGGACCAGCCCACGCTCCTTATCTAGCTATTGCTGGCAGCGGCTCAGTTAAAACGATGCAAGAAGCGGTTAGCAGGAGCTGGCTCGTATCCCGGGCCAAGCTCTTCTGTGCAAAGCTCCCCCCGGCTCGGGTAATACCGGGCCCCAGCTGCTTTAGACTTGGGCAAACCCCGCGGCGGGCGGGAAGAGCAGCCCGCGGGCCGCCAGAGCCAGGGCCCGACCAGCCCCGATGGCGCCGACCCGATGGCCCGGCTGCGCACGGGAGGAACCTGCTCCTCGGCATTCTCCCGCCACGCGCAGGCGGGGCCTCCTGGGAGGGCCAGGGGGAGGATCCCTCAGGGACAGGGGTAAAATTCCAAACCCCTTCTGCAAACGTAGACGGCGAAGGCGACTTTGGACGATACAGCACCCGCGGGGAGGGATTGACACCGCTTCCCCCTCCCCTGCGGGGCTGGGGGGCTGGTAGGGCCGAGTGCTCACCCGGCCCGGGTCACTCACTTTACACCCCCTGTAACGGTGCCGAGGGGTGGGTCAAACTGGGATTTTCTAAAGTCTAATTGTTCAGCATTCATTAATATTACTCCAGCAGAGCCTAGGGGAGATCTGACCCCAACCGAGAACCGGGCCCCCTTAGTGCCGGACGCCACGCAGACCCCAACCGAGAACCGAGCCCCGTAGTGCTGGACGCCACGCAGACCCCGACTGAGATCCATACCCCCGCTGTGCCGGTCGCCACACAGACCCCAACTGAGATCCATACCCCCGTAGTGCCGGACGCCATGCAGACCCCAACCGAGAACCGGGCCCCCGTAGTGCTATACACCACGCAGACCCCGACCAAGATCTGGGCCCCCATAGTGCCGGACGCCACGTAGATCCCGACTGAGAACCGGGACCCCATAGTGCTGGTCGCCACGCAGACCCCAACCGAGATCCGGGCCCCCGCTGTGCCGGACGCCACGCAGACCCCAACCGAGAACCGGGCCCCCGTAGTGCCGGATGCCACGCAGACCCCGACTGAGAACCGGGCCCCCGTAGTGCCAGGCGCCACGCAGACCCCAACCAAGAACCAGGCCCCCGTAGTGCCGGACGCCACGCAGATCCCGACCGAGAACCGGGCCCCCGTAGTGCTGAGTGCCATGCAGACCCCAACCGAGAACTGAGCCTCCATAGTGCCAATCACCATCTTACCAGAGGGCAGCAGACAATCCCTGCACCAAAAAATTTACAATCTAAATAACGAATCGTCCCCTGGGCAGTAAACAGCCCCGATTCAAAGGGGCTTAAGTGCCTAAATCCCTTTGGCTCAGCTGAAAATCCCAATCAGGATGTCCTCCTTGGCTCAGGGCCAGAGTCCCCATTCCCTGGCTCAGCACATTGGAAGCAGGACTGCAGCAGGTTACACTGGGTTTATGCTCGTGTAAATGATGGTGCCCATCATTCCGCCTTGCACGGCTGGGGGAGAACCCGGGGGGGGCAGCGTGTGTGTGTGTGGGGGGGATCAGTCCCTGTTTTCTCATTATTAGGCTCTGCCCCAGGGCGCTCTGGTCTCTTCCTGGCCCACAGCACCCGAGAGCCTCCCAGAGGGGCCCAGCCCGGCTGCCAGCCAAACCAACAGGAAAATGACCACGGTCTCCCGTCCCGTGGGGGGAGCAGGATCGGGTCCCCTCTGGGGGGTGGTTTGTCCCTGGCGGGGCACCGAACCTGGCCAGCCACCAACGCTGCCGGGGTGGCAGAGGAGTTTGTGGACGGTGCCTGCCGCCCCGCCCCGCCCCGCCCCGCCCGGTGAATGGAGCAATGCCGCTGAGCCGGTCCGTGTGTCGGCTGCAGACGCTCCTAGGACAGGCGGGCAGGTCCCTGCGGCTGGCACGAGTCAGCAGCACCCCGGCGCCGGGCGGCATGGACAGAGGTAACGGAGCCCCCCCATTGGCCGCCAGAGGGGGCCTCCCGGAGCTGGGCCTGGAGCGGGGCAGAGCCCTGGAGGCAGCTGCCCCATAGCAGCGTGGGCAGGGAATCGCGTGTGCACGATCCTGGCTGGGTGGGGGGCTGGGACCCCCGCCCCTTGGTTCACCCCCCCACCCCCCGGATGGGCTGGACAGGACCGTCTGTAACGACCTTGCAGACTCCTGCTCAGCCGCTCACCCGGGGTCGGTTGTGTTATTTGCAGGGGGCCAGCACGAGGCTTTGTGGGCGAGGAGAATCTGTAAATTTCCATCCGTTGCATCCCCCTGAGCTCAGGGCCTTTTTCATTCCCTACGGCTGTGGGGCTAGATTCACCGACGTACTTAGGCACCAAACTGCCATTTCAGGAGCCTAAATCTCAGTCAGGCCAGGCTGGGTCACAAAGCCCCCACTCAGAGGTCTCTGCCTAGACTTCCTTAGCACAGAAATTTGTGCAGTAAATGTTCCCTAGGTGCCTAAATTTCTGCCTTTAGGCACGTGCGCTGCAGCCCCACGCTAGGTGTCCGGACGCCTCCGCCCCCCCAGTGATGCACAAGGGGGTTCTTCCACCTAACTCACCTGCAGGGCCCAATCCCATAAGTGTGCTGAGATCATGTGTGCCGGATCGGGCCCCTCTAGGTGAGCTCCTGGAGAAGGAGGAGAATGACCTCCCTCATGACTTTTGACCTGGCGGTTAGAGTACCCACCTGGGATGTGGGAGACCCGCGGTTCAAGTCCCCCCTCCACCTGAGGGGGAGAAGGGATTTAAACTTCTCAGGTGGGTGTCTGAACCCTGGGGCTCTCTGATGTGGGGCTCTCTCAGAAGCTAGCCCTTTGTTCGTATTGAGTTATGAGGAGAGGCTGAGGGAGCTGGGATTGTTTAGCCTGCAGAAGAGAAGAATGAGGGGGGATTTGATAGCTGCTTTCAACTACCTGAAAGGGGGTTCCAAAGAGGATGGCTCTAGACTGTTCTCAATGGTAGCAGATGACAGAACGAGGAGTAATGGTCTCAAGTTGCAGTGTGGGAGGTTTAGATTGGATATTAGGAAAAACTTTTTCACTAAGAGGGTGGTGAAACACTGGAATGCGTTACCTAGGGAGGTGGTAGAATCTCCTTCCTTAGAGGTTTTTAAGGTCAGGCTTGACAAAGCCCTGGCTGGGATGATTTAACTGGGAATTGGTCCTGCTTTGAGCAGGGGGTTGGACTAGATGACCTTCTGGGGTCCCTTCCAACCCTGATATTCTATGATTCTATGATTCTATTCTCTGCTCTCCCCAAACACACTCTTTCCTCCCCACTTTCATAGACAAACTTTTTTTTAAACTCTTCTGTAAAAATGAAGCTTTGTACACCATTTAATTACATTTTGAGTGTAAATTTCCTGCTCTTTTTTTAATGCAACACTGGTGTTGTCTAGACTAGAGTCGACAGACATGGCATTCACTAACACATTTAAAACGTCTTTTCTAGACAGAGCAGTGTGTGTGTGAAACTAGCCAAGTTAGGCCTTGTCTTTGCTAGGAAAGAAAGTGTTAGTTAGGATATATTGGCCAGCTAACGCATGTTAGTGTAGACAATGCAAGCTGTAGTTTCAACACGTGTTAGCTGGTTGAGGTTAACCCTAGCCTCCCTCCTAAACTTTAATGCAATCAGCCTAACACGTGTTAAAGCCAGCACACTGCCTTCCAGACTTCTAGAACTTGATAGTTAATGTGCTAACATCACCCCTTCAGATCCTAGCCCCGGTAAGGGCATAGCTTCAAAGCTCAGCTGACCTGAACCTATCCTGAGTCATTTTCAGACTCCACCTAACCTGAACCTGATGCTTCTCCCCAAACCTCTGCCAGCACCATGACCACCTCGTCCTTGCAGGTTGGTCTGGTGTGGACTTCCTGCTTCCCATGCCTGTGTTCTGTCTCCGGTCTCCGGCCTGTGGCTTTAGCACAGATATGGCTGTGTCCCCTGCTGCTGCCGGCCACCAGGGCCTTGCTGCGCTGTGGGTGTGGCGGAGTGAGACGCTGTGACTTGTCGGCACACACGCAGCACAGCCAAGTGGCAGAGGCTGGCAGGAGTGGGGCTGGCAGGCACCACCGTGCCCACCCCACAGGTGGGAGGAGATGATCAGAGACTGCCTGACCTGAGCCCCAGGGGGTCAGATTGTTTTCAGACCCAACCCTGACACTGGTGGTCAGGTTCCATCAGGTTTGGGTCCAGTTGCAAGGCTCTGCTGGTGAGTGCACTCATGGCAGGCACATGGCTGGAGCGGGCTCACACACACACACGTGTGTGCTGTATGTTCCAGCTGGGAGATCCCGCCAGTAAGTAATGACCGTGGAGAATCAGAGGCACTGAGCGGTCGCCTGTATCACCCATGGCTAGGAATTGCTGTTTTCTGCTGTAAGTAGTAATTAGCTCTGAGTTATTTGGCTTTTTAAATGAAACAATAACATTCCTTGGGTGCTTTCCAGGGATAAGGAGAAGTGCGTTGCCATGGCCATTGGGGGGTGGGAGGGGTGGCACGAGTGTAGACGGTCACCTCATCTAATCCTGTGCAAAGCCAGGCTTCATAACCCAGTTGTAAAATACCTGTGAGGGTACACCTGTCCAGACGAGGGGAAAAGGCACTTTTATAAATGGGGCTGGCTGCCTTGGGTAACAAGCTCAATTTGAAACACTGTCTAACACCAGTGTAGATGCAGTTTTGCCCCTAATGTCCCTATGATCCCAGGATGCAATCCAGACCAGCCAGGGGTTGTGTCACCCACCTACTGTGCAACCTGGGGTTGCCTCACCATGCTTTGCTGTTGTAGCTCCCAGCCTGGGCTGCTCCCAACCAGCCTACAAGTCACACCTTGAGTGTGTTTATAGTTGCAGCCCTGATCCAACAGCCTGCCAGCAACGCACCCGTCACACTCTGGCTTCCATCAGCCTTGGTTTAGTACGTCAGCAGACTCCTAGTCCTGAATTTTCCCCAAAAGCCTGTCTTCAGCACTGCAAAGACCTCTCCTGGACAGCTCAGATATTAATGGTGCGTTGTTCCTGTACAGTCAATATTCAACAGTTTGCTACTTTCACTGGACTTGTCGAACAGTTCAGTTTAAACTAAACCAACTGGGTTGGTTGAGATTAAAAAATAAAACCAGTTTGGTCACAAAAGAAGGTGGGATTTTAAGTGAATTCAAGGACAAGCGATAAAGCTGGATGTGGCTACAAGCAAATAAAAGTGAAAACTTCATCTTCCATTGGTGTATGCAGCGGTGTTGGAGCTGGGTCGGTCCCTGGATAGTAGAAAGACAAGGTGGGGGAGGTAACAGCTTTCATTGGACCAACTTCTGTTGGTGAGAGAGACAAGCTTCCAAGCTTATGCAGGGCTCTTCTTCAGGTCTTGTTGGTCCAATACCACACCCACCTTGTCCCTCTAAAGCTTACTAGATTAAGTTTTGGTTCAAAGCTTTGTTAAGATGGTCTTTCTCACCCCCAGTCTTCCAGCCAGATGGTGACCGATCCTTTTCTTGGTCAGGATCTCTCCCCCAGGCCAGAAGGTGCTGGTGCCTTTGTCTTAGTGGAAAGAGAGAGAGAACTTGGGGTTCTCTGTCTCTTTCTTTTATAGTCCCATCAATCTTCTGATGATTACTCCTCCAAGCAAAGTTTATTCAAACAGTAAAGGTGGCGATCGACCGGGAGTTTGGGGGCGAAGGAGACTCTGTGCCCTTTCTACTCGTTTGCTGAGGTTTAAATTTGCTTTGTCTCCTGCCTGTTCCCCCATGGCTGTCTCAAGGACCCTGTTTATTACTTCTATGTAAACACTCATTCCTCTGAGGACAGATCTGTTCAACAACTGTTGCCTAGGCAGGGCTGGATAGTTTTGGAGGTGTGCTAATAATCTCCTTGCGGGGATTTCATGACAGTGTTGCCACACACATTTCACCATGTCATTAACCAGCAAGTTATCAGTTTTCAAATGAGACCTTGCACGGCATTTTGTACAAAGCTTATCACAACTGTGCGTAGGGTGTGACTGCAGGGCTGCTTTCAGTGGCATATCCTCCTATGGCCGTGTCCAGATCAGGATTTAAAAGTGGGATGTTGGATCGAGTTACCTGGCTCAGTCGAACTAACTCGTCTAACAGTCTAATCAGGTCAAAGCAATTGACCTGTAGCACATGCTGAACTGGTTGGGTTAAAGCTGAGTGTGACAATCCCCTCTGGTGTTATCTGGATCGGTGATCTGCTAGGTCACTCCAATCCTTGACTCTGGGAGCCAGCCTTACCCTGCTCTGCTGTGAGAACCCCTACTCCTGGGCTGTTCACGCACAGCCTCTGGCATGCAAGCTGCTCCTTGGATTGTGCAGCTGAATGACAATAGCCAATATCTGTGGTCCCAGACACAACCCCAGAAACCTCCGTTTTGCAGTGTCCAGTTATGCCTACTGATGCTGCAAGCTTATATGAGTTTGTCAATTTAATAAAGAAATTGATATGTACTAGGCTTGTTATCCCAAGGGGAGTCTCTGACATGCTGTAAACCAAACGCACTGCTTCAGATAAAATAAACAAACAGGTTTATTAACTACAAAGATAAATTTTAAGTGATTATAAATCAAAGAATAACAACTCAGATTTGGTCAGATTAAATAAAAGCAAAACGCATTCTAAGATGATCTTAACACTTTCAGGGCCCTTACAAACTTAGATGCTTCTCACCACAGGCTGGCTGGTTGCTCTTCAGCCAGGCTCTCCCCTTTGATCAGTGCTTCAGTTGCTTGGTGTGATGTCTGTAGGTGGAAGAGAGAGAGCATGGCAAGCGTGTCTCCCTTTTATCACGTTCTTTCTTCCCTCTTGGCTTTGCTTCCCCCAGCGCCAGAGTCAGGTGAGCATTACCTCATTGCAGTCCCAAACTGACCAAAGGAAGGAGGGGTGACTCACTGGAGAGTCTAATAGATCCTTTTGTTGTTGCTTAGGCCAACATCCTTTGTGCCTGTGAGGCTGGGCTGGGTTTGTCCCATACATGCCCTGATGAGGTGTGAACTGCCTTTCTGTTCTTGGAGACTTTTTGCCTGGGCTTGCTTTAAGCCATGAGGATAAATTTTCAGCCTCATAACTATATACATGAAATTATAACCTCACTATAACATTACTGTAACAATGACTATAACATCACTGTAACAACCATGCTCAGTGCATCATAAGCCTTCTGCAAACAAACTTTGCATTGGATACCACACAATCATTTTATAAAGATGAACATGGGGGTATAGGGCGTCCCCTGAGATACAGAGCGTTACGCTGAGGCTGTAACTTGACCTATTCAAACTGAGCTGAAGGCTTTAGACTGTGTCTACGTTGGTGCTAAATGGGGTTTTCTGTTGAGCTAAACTCAGTAGGGAAAACAGTGTGTTTTTCCTATCTATGCAGTGTACGTCCTGGTATAACTGCTGTGAGGTGGTGCGGGAGTGGGGGTGTGATTTTTATTTTTACGGATAGTCATATTGGCACAATCCCAGTTGCGGGTGCAGTTATACTGGTGTGAGGGTGCCTCTTACTGGGGTGACTTATTCCCTTGCCTGGACTGACATCGTTAAACTGGGACAACTCGTGTGTGTAGAGCCCCTTGGCTAGATAAGGTCTACACTACAGCACGACCTGCTGATGTGACTGTGGAGGTGGTAAGCTGCATCCACACTGGGTGGGGTTTCAAATGGGCTGAGCTGCCACCTTGCTTTTTTTAAACCTTTCCCCCTTGTCGAGACAAAGCTGCAGGTGCTGGAGCAATGCTGGGAGATCCCCCCATAATAACCCTCAGTGCTGGACGAGGCCGTGTCTACAGGCCCAGGGCCAGCTGTGGGGAAAATTCACCTCCATGCTCTGTATCCAGGCCCATCTCTAGCACCTCTCTCTCTCTGCCCTTGGACATAGCCCGCAGCAGTCAGAGGGGTTGCACCCAGCTTTACAGTGTGTGAACAAGAGCAGAATTTGGCATGTTCCCCCCTCCATCCCCCCGGTGTCTTGCACAGCCTGAACCCTGCTCCATCATGTCAGGAGCAAATGAATCCTGTGTCTAGAAAATCAATGGTTAAAGGAACAAACCGACTCTGCCATTGCCTTGCAGAGGCCGGACTTTGCCCACGAGTGACTCCTACTAAAGACAAGGGGCCTGAATCTTGTCACGGTTCAGGGCACCTGCACCTCACTGGCTCAGCAAGGGCACCTGCTCTGACTTCCAGCTCCCCCGGTTGTTATCTTGTTATCTCTCTTCGGTGGAGACACAGGTCTCCCTCCTTGCTGGCTGGCGTCTCTCCAGGCTGCTGTAGCTCCCTGCCTTCCCTGTGTTGTGTTAGTCTGTCCAAGCAGGCCTGCTGGCTTTTCCCTCAGAGACTAATAACAATGTATTTGCTTCAAGTGTAAGTTACCGCCTGGTTCTTTAGTGCTTAATTTGTAATGAAAGAGATGCCGGGGCTGAAGCAATTAGATGCTGGAGCTCGAGCAATTTTTTTTTACTTTAGTAACTAATGCAGCAACCCCGGAGGTGCCGGGGCCCTGAATTGCCAAGCCCGGAGGTGCTGGGGCCCTGAACTGCCATGAATTAGGCACTGCAGTTCTTCCTACACGAGCCTATTAATTAAGGTAAAAGCATTGCAGAGAAAACATATGAAAAAACAACTAAAAAAACCTACAGACCTGCTAATAAACTTATCAGAGATTACCCCCTCCAACGTAGGCTCTGATAGGAGCAGCCCTTCCTAGCCCCACCCAGGGGTTTCTCTACTGTGTCAAGTTCATCACGCTCTTTGTTCAGAAGAGAACACTGAGAGTCACTCCTTTATCCAGTTGAGTTATTTGAAATGACCTGGAAGAGGTAATGCACCAGACAACAGATCTCTGCTCAAAGTCCAGCTTCTAAAGGACAGATGGAGGTGGGTCATTTACATTTCCCTAAGCCTCCAAGTATTTCCTGCGAAATCCACTTCCCATGTATTGTCACAAAAGGTCCCCTAAGTTTCTAATATCTTCCAGAAATTGCATTAGTCAAGGCTATCCTCCCAGAGAAGTGCCATACAATCCCACAATAGTACACAAACAATGGCATTGTCAATACCCTGGACTCCCCAAATACTTAAGCTTAAATCAGTCGGGTTTAACGTAATTCCAGCTTTGCCGAAGAGATTGTCATATCTGTCACAATTCTGATTTACACAAAGGCCCTTTTATACAGCAGTGGCCCTGGTGGTGTAAAGGAGTATAAAGGGCAGTTTCTCACAGAGAGCATTGTACAGGGCCTTGGTGTAGCTAGGAATCATCTCACACGGGGAGAAGACTAGATCATGTGAGGGGCTGGTCTGCTGCAGCCTGTGGATGACCCGCTGACTCTTCTTCCCTGTAATGGGGGGAGCAGAGGGGTTTGCCCTGGTTGCTGGGGGAGGAGCCTTGCGAGGGAGCAGAGGAAGTGACTGCTGGTTTCTGCTTTCCACAAAGGAAACATCATTTCCCACAAGGACATGAAAGCACTGGTCACCGGCGGGAAGGCTCGGATTATCGACGTGCGGTTGCCGGGGGAGGTGGCGAACGGCCATATCGCCAACTCAGTCAATATTCCAGGTGAGGGGTTGCTGTGGGTGCCAGCAGCCAGGGCTTCCATTGCATGTAGAGGGACTGCCCCCCACTGCAGAGGGCAAAACGTAGTTTCACAGACTGGAGCGTGAGCGGTCAGGCCTAGCAGTCAGAGCCAGAGTCAGGAACCAGGAGTCAGAGCCCAGGGTCAAAGCTGGAGTCAGGAACCGAGCAGGACTGGAAACAAGGTGGGCACAGAAGCGATCGCAGCTGTGGGCAGAAGCATGGAGGAGTCAGTGACCTGCCGCTGAGTTTAAATGCAGATCCGTAGTCTCCTTGCAGCCAATGGAAGAGCCAGCCAATCAAGTGATTCTGCCACAGCTCAGCTGGGCTCCTTAGCCTGCCTGAGGGCTGAGCCAGCCAGCCCCAGGTCAGCTGCAAGGACTCAGGCCCATTGTTCCTGATCCGTAGCACTAGAGCGCTGGAGAAAGTGGAATTAGTAACTCAGCAGGGGTCGCTCTTTCCTCCCTGCTCTCCAGCGTGCCAGGGGTGCTGTGCTGGGGAAGTGACATGAGGCCAAAGCTGGATCATTAAAGATCCTATGTGTGCACAAAGAGATGGGTGTGTTAGAGGGCTTTCCCTTCACCCCTTCCCCTGGTTCTTGTCATGCAGACAGAAAGCAGCAGACCAGAAGTGCAGGCAATGCAATGTTTATTGGGGTTAGTTTTAAGGCAGCATGTCAATAACTTTGACACTACAGAGCCTTGTTTCCCAGTGTCCCGTTCTCTCTCCACTTTAGCAGACAGAATTATACCTGAACTGCACGCTTTGGGTCCCATCCCTTACAGTTTATGGTCATGTTCTGTTCTGGGGGCCATGAGTCTGGGGTTTTTGTCCCACCTCTTTTGTATTCAGTGGGAGGAATAAGGAGTGAGGTTGTGCTACGGTCAGGGACAGGCATTTTATTTTTTTGGTCTTTTAGGGTTTTATACCTTTTTCACCCAATTCCCTCTTGCCCCTCCCGACTAGTTGTTTGACCTTGGCTTAAGATAGAAGTTGAGACAGTCTTATGTGTGTGCTCGTATATTATACTTTCATTATACCCAGTAACACTTTAACTGTTCTTATCTGTTCCCATTATACTAACAAACCTAACTAGCTAGGCAGAAGCAACATGCATAGTGTCTTTGTCCTTTGTTTACACATATTAATAAGAATATAAACGTATCAAAAATTAAGTGGGCAAACGACCTAAAATTCTATCTCAGGTAGAAATACAGGCCTGAATTCTACATTATTACTAGCACTCCTAACAGGATGTAACCTGTGCCAAATTCACATCGGGGAGTTCTCGCCTTCCTTAAACTACCTTGATGGTTTTAAACGGATGCAGGCTTCTACTTCACTTCCTGTCCTAAATGGACGTGCAGTGTTTCCATGTCTTGGTCAGTTGCTGTGTTCCACCACAGGGGGTGCTGCATTTCAGAAGTGCGAAAAGTGATAGCTTGTATCCCTTTGTAAAGCGTGTGGGACTTGCATAAGAGCATCATCGCCTGTATTTATGGAGCAGTGTAGCAATCATCCACAATCATCATCAGCAGGGGTTAACTCCGCAACTTCAGCATCAAGATACAGACCTCTACCACTTGAGCTAAAGGAGTCACTCCATCAGCTAGTAGCAGCAGTAGGCTTTTATCCTCTAGCGGACTAGCTAGTGTCACATCCCCATCTAGTGGGGATGTGACACACCCTTTCCCAGGGTGATACACCAGCACTGCTGATTGCAATCATCTCTCTCTCTTTTCCCCACCCAGTGGCAGAAGTCGAGGAAGCCCTGAAGATGGACCCTGAGACGTTTAAGATGAAGTATGGTGTGGACAAGCCACGGATGGATGACGAGAACTTGATCTTCCACTGCCAGATGGGCAGGAGAGGGGCTCAGGCCACAGAGATCGCCATGACTCTCGGCTACGCCAAGTGAGCCTGCCCCTCCCCCGGGCTCTTCTATCATGGGTCACCAGACCCTCCGGGACATTGTGAGCGTACCACGGACTCTGTGGGTTTGGAGGCAAGGGCTGTAGGGTGCTTAAAATGCCCTGGGTCCTATCGACTCCAGCCCTTCTGAGTGACCCCCTAAACTCTCACGTATAGCATTATTAATGGAGAAATCGTTGGGTCTGGTGGAGAAGAAGAGGGCTCAGATATCCCTCGGCACCAATCTTGCTTATACGGGTGTATTCCAGAGTAAACCCCCTGGAGGGGATGGTGATACTCCAGATTCTCACCGGGGCCAGAGAGACAAAGTTTTGGTTAGCTACCGAGAGAGAGGACAGAATAATTCCGAGCTAACCCCATAGGGGATGTTCCCACAGCTACCTTGGTTCCTCAGGGACCCTTCAAATTCATCCATATGACCCTGTGCTGGGGGCAGGTTATTTCTCAAAGTTCTGGGCACAGCTCCCGCTCTGATGTTCTGGTCCCACTTGGGTTTCTGGCCCCTGGGCAGTCACAGCTGGGCTGGGTCTGACTCTTCCACTCCAGAGGCAGTGGGTCCGTCTAGCTGTGGATAGTCCCTCCCATCTCCTATTCTGAAGCCACATGTCACCTCCTGTCTCTGCAGGGCCCGTAACTATGCAGGCGGCTACAAGGAATGGTCTGAGAAGGAAGGGAAGTGAAGTGGGAACGACTCCCCGAGGGCTGGTGTCTGTCCCTCCACGCCTAGCAGCTGCTTTGCCCTGAGGACTCTTCCTTCACTTCCTTGCTGCAACGTCGTCGCATTGCTGCTGACACCTGATGCTGGGATGGGAACACTCTGGGTCCTGGTGGGCTCTTGGCTAAGGCACCTGTCTGAGAAGCTGCCACTCTGCTTTCTGTCTCACTTTCCAGACCACTTGTTATGTTGGAGCATATTAAAGTTCTGTATTAAAATCACAAATGAGTTTGATTCCCCATAGTTTAAATTCCAGGGTACTACTAATTAAGAGGTCTCTTGGGTTTTGGTCTTTTATTTTTACTGTTTCTCTCCCTCTCTGTGTGAAACTTGCAAGCTGCTAATTGTGTTAGTACATCCTAAGACAGAGTCTGTTCTCAAAGCAATACTTTGTAACAACAACTACTCACACAGAGAGACTCAAAGCGATAATTTGTAACAACTAACAACAGAAACAGCACACAGAGACTCCCGGCCCTTTTGTTGTTTTCATTTCGCTTTTTTAACAATTGTGATTAAAATAGAGATAGAGGATGTATGTGGATGGATGCTTGGTGTGGATAATAAATGAATGATCAGGGAGGTGTCAGCCTAAGAATCCAGTTTCGATGGGCCGAAGAAGGTGTCAAGTGGAAATAACCAGAGGACCCCCGGAGGGCAGACTGGAATCCACCCAACAGCTTCAAGGATGGGAGAACTCAAGAACAAGATAACATCTGGCAGCATGGAGCTGTCAGGAATGTGCCATCTGCTGATTGACAAAGGCTTGACAAAGCCCTGGCTGGGATGATTTAATTGGGGATCGGTCCTGCTTTGAGCAGGGAGTTGGACTAGATGACCTCCTGAGGTCCCTTCCAACCCTGATATTCTATGATTCTATGATGAAGCAATTCCCATAGGAATGAATAGGAATAAATAAATTCCTATAAAAATGGACTCTAGAAACTGAGAACTTTGGGGTCTGATTCTGCAAACCAACTTCCAGGAGCATCAGATGAGCATCTGACAAAGCCCTGCTCCCTCCTTGTGTCCAGACCACCTGGCCAGTGGCTTGGCATGAGCAAGTCTAAGGCTGGTAACTATGATAACAACCTTGCAGAACCTGTGTGTGTGTGTGTGTGTGTGTGTGTGTGAATAAATACGAAATTGAATGGAATGTTATAGCTATAACTAACTGCTTACTGTGATTCTTTCTGTATTCACAATAAATGTGGCATTTTGCCTTATTCCCTTTAATAAGATCCTGCTGGTTTTTATTTTATTGGTATAACAGTGTCTCACCTGCTCCAAATGTAGTCACTCCCCTGCCCTTGATAGCAGCTGGGGGGTTCAGGCACTTTATTGGGGGTGGGGAGATATCTGAACCCCCCTATTCACTCCATCTTCCCCATCTCTCCTGGGAATCTGGGACCCCATCCATATGCTTCCCATGGGGTAAGTCCTCAGCTCTCAAGGATGTGATGGTCATTTTGCTACCCCACTTCATTCTCCACCTGCATCTGCCGCTTCCAGCTGTAGCCTGCTATTTCTATAGCATGCTGGGTGCCCCTCAGCCACCTCTGCACGGGGGATTTTCTCTGCAGCCACACCTGGAAAAGAGAGCTCCCTGGTGCTTCCTCTGCTGTAGTACCTGGCTCTGATAAGGGGTTGGGACATATGTGATGGCAGCAAGACAACAAAGGAAATTGTTCAGGGTTAGCCAGGTCTGATATTATATTAAATATGTTTAAAGTCTTTGTACGGAGCTGTGTTTCTCAGCCTCTTCACATTAAAAAAATCGCACAACCTCCCCAATAACAATAAAAAATGTCTCATTTCTGACCATGCTTAGGGCTGGCCTGCATGCAGAACATGCATTGGCAAAACTAGGTCTCTTTGGCAGGGTGGGAGGGTTTCTCTCCACGCTAGAGATAATCCATACCCCTGAGAGATGTAGCTATGCCAGCCTAACCCCCAGTGCAGACAGAGCTAGATGGATGGAAGAATTCTTCTGTTGACCGAGCTACCACCTCTCAGGGAGGTGGATTATCCAGCGTGGAGAGAACCCCTTCCAGTGCTGTCGTGAGTATTTACACTGAAGTGATACTGCTGTAGGGTTTTAACCATAGACCTACCCTTAGCATATAGAACTGATGTGTGGGAGGGTGGAGAATACTTGATCTTGAAGGGCCAGGATGTGTGCGGATCAGGGGAGCAAGACTTTTCTTTGGTTTAGACTGAAGTAACATTTTCAATGCCTCATGACCCCACTGCTGGCCTTTCCTGACCTCCCAGGACAGTCGTGACCCATCCATTGAAAAACCCTCGTCTAGAGCATGCTAAGCATCCCCTGGAGTTGTTCTGAATAATCCACGTGTGTTGTCACATCCTGGCAATCATGGGAAGTGGAATGCAACCAACGGGTGGCACCTGGCAGCTGATCACAGCAACTCGGAGGCTCTGCTCCAGAGGGCCGTGGGGAACAGTCAACTCCAGAGCACAGAGAAGTTGGTTCTTTTTAAGCTACAGTTTAAGGTCTTGTCTACACAAGAAAACTGCAGTGGTTTAACTTAAGGCTTTGTCTGAAACTGATTGAGTTAAATCGCTGCAGACCTCTCTGTGGATGCTTTTATTTCAGTTTAAGAGCAACTTATTTTGATTTAGCTTAAGTCAGGTTTAAGTTAAGTGCAAAAAGGCACAGTCCTCCAGCAGCTGTCTCACAATGTCCAACAGTGGCTGCTCTGGTCACAGTTGTGAATTCCATGGCCCAGCCCACAGAAACTGGAAGCAACTCCCCCTGTGCCCCGTCTCTTTAAAACACCCCACATATTTTTGAAATGCCTTTTCCTGATTGCCCAGCTGGGCGAGCATACCTAGCAGCTCACCCTTGTTGTGTGCAATTGCCCACCTGAGCATGCTGGCTACGTTCTCCAAATACACTCTGGTCTAGAGCAGACTGGAGCTATTGGATCTCCTGGGCCTGTGGGGTGCAAGCAGAGCTATGGAACTGTGGATATCTATGGGCAGATTGCATGGGGGATGCAGACAGAGGAGTACAACAGGGACCTGTAGCAGTGCCAGATGAAAGTGAAGGAACTGCAGAGGGCAGACCCCGTGGCCAGGGAGGCCAACAATCGACCTGGTGGTGAGCCGCAGACCTGCAGCTTTTACAATGAGCTGCGTGCTCTATTTGCAACCCGCAGGCCACCATAAATACCTTGGAGGAGCCTGAGACAGAGACACCTGCTGTGGGAGGAAGAGGGGGAGACCCAGTGGGAAGGCAGCTTTGCTGTGAGCCAGCACCACTGTGAGACGCTGCCACAGTCTAGCGCAGGGGTTCTCAAACTGGGGGTCGGGACCCCTCAGGGGGTCACGAGGTTATTACATGGGGGGTCGTTAGCTGTCAGCCTCCAGACCAGATCCTGCTTTGCTTCCAGCATTTATAACGGTGTTAAATATATTTAAAAGTGTTTTTAATTTATAAGGTGGGGGGGTCATGCTCAGATGCTTGCTATGTGAAAAGAGTCACCAGTACAAAAGTTTGAGAACCACTGGTCTAGTCAGTCCCATCAGGCAAGCATGAATGAGCTTGCTGAAGGGGAAGAAACCTTGTGTAAGTGTGTGCACGCATTTTCCCTAGCAATGTTTCAATGTAAAGACGGTGCCCAGCCCAGCTCCAAGTCACCAAGATACAGGTATCAACTTTTCATCATTTTACTTGTATGAGAAGAGGAAGAGGTACAACAAAAGAGAGTTGGCATCAGCTTTTCCTTCTGCTGGGTTAGGGGAGGCAGGGGAGGGGTTGTTTATGTACACAGGGATGTCCCATGCAGCCTCCTGACAGATCTTGATGAAACTTTCACTGAAGTAATCTGTGATCCTCTCCCACAGGTTTCTAGGGTAGCGGCCTTATTTCTTCCTCTGCAGTAGGACACTTTCCCATGCCACTCGGCCATGAATTCAGCTGGCACCATTGCAGTGAACAGGCTAGTGACACACAAACCCAGGCAGTTTGGGGACACCAGCAGCAGCTGTGTGCTGCGCCTTTGTTACCTCAGGAGCGAGCTATCAGCTGAAATCACCACTGCCTGTGGAAAACCATGCCAAGTTTCAGTGCAGAAATAGGGACCAAAATGTTATTGTTTCATACAACCAAAAATCATACTGCCCTCTTCCTTTTCCCTGCAGCCTGGCCCCTGGAAGGCTGTACTCGCCATGGCAGGGACTGGAGAGAGGCGCTCCAAAGCTGATCATCACAATCAGCATCATGTCTGAGTACAACATTTTATGGGAATAAGGGAGGGGAGTTTTGAAACTTGCACTTTCTGCTGTGATTGTAACTTAACGTAGTAGAAAGAGAGCCTGAAGCATGGGCCTGGTACAAGACCTGAGGCCTGAACCAAAATCAGCAAAAATCAGGCCCTGACAAAAGCAGGCGCTTGCCTGCAAATCAGTGTCCAGTTCATGAAGTCGGCACTGGTATTTCTAGCATTGCCAAACCACACCGAGTAGGTAACCAGCTTCCAGCAGGCCAGCACGAGAACACCCCCGCCTGGCACATGATAAGCTGGTTTAACAGAAGGGATGAAGAGGGATATTTTGTCTGAAACCTCAGGAGTAAAGTACAAAGACAGGGAGTGAGTAGGGACGTTTTGTCTGAAACCGGAGAAAGGTAAAAAGGGAGGTTACAAACGTGTCATGAAACACGTAAATTGTTTATCCCAGATTGCTGGTCTCAGTCTATAAATGTTGAGATGCCTCGCCTTAACCGTTTATCTGGACTAGGGGGCAGTGGAAAGTCCTGCCACTGACTAATCCGGTCCTTTGTCATTCATAGTTCTTGTGTTATGAGAAGTAGTAAACAACACTTCCTTATCTACTTTATACCAGTCATGATTTTATAGACCTCAATCATATCTCCCCTTAGCCGTCTCTTTTCCAAGCTGAAAAGTCCCAGTCTTATTAATCTCGCCTCATACGGAAACCGTTCCATACCCCTCATCATTTTTGTTGCCCTCTTCTGAACCTTTTCCAATTCCAATATATGACTATAGAATTTCCCACAGAAATGGTCTATAAGGGACTGCTGCAGGCAGCAGGCAGAGAGAGAATCTGAGCAAAATTATTTGACTATTGGGTAATGTAATCAAAATCACGAAAGGATGGAAGAGGTTTCTTTTGGAACTTAACTTGGCTGCCCCTAGTTGTGTCTAGTTGTACAAGATGGAAGTGTAATCGGGGTACAGTTGTGTAAAAAAGAATAATCACAGTGCAAGGGATGTTAGGCAAAACAGAATTTTGTGTGTGTGTGCACAGGTAAAAGAAAAGGAAAAGGGGAGGAATGATGGGAACACTGAGCCTTGGGATGGCTCTGGGGGATTAGATTGTTGCTTTGGTGGGTTCTGCATGAAAACTCTGTAGGCATGGGGGAGGCAGTTATACCTTGTGTAAAATTAATTTGGCTAATATGATGTTATGGAGGTTAAACTATATGGAAGGAATTTGCATTTTCCCAGGACATGTGCAGTGTATATTGGAAAAGGAGTAAAAGAAATGCAAATAAAACATGGTACTTCATTAAAATCCTAATAGGGCTCCAAAAGGAGCCACAATAGGTTGTGCTTTCTTTTTCAGATCGCTGTGTTTTGGAGCAGGAGATGAAAGTGGAAAGTAATCAGAACTCTGGTGGAAGTAAAATGCTTCCCTTTTAAGACAGTGTCTGAGCTGCTAACAGCTTTGGATCCAAAAGCAAGCTAGTAAGCCTCTGTGTGTAAATGCAAATTACCTAGCTGATGGGCACAAAGGAGCTGCAAATAACTGAATACATCTGGTCAGCAAACAAGCTACTAGAAGACTCAGATTATGGCCCTTCAGGAAAGGGAGGTGAAAAAAACAAGTCAAGCCTGAAAATAAGGGGGACAGGTTAACCTTAAGGGGTGTGTGTGTGTGTGTGTGTACAGTGCTAAAATCTGAAGCTGTGTCTCAGCTATTACCTGAGAATAAATTTAAAGCTTGGTACAGCAGAGAAACTATTGCAAACTTGGTCTGTTGTACAAGAGGGGAAACTGAGGGGAAACTGAGGTACACCATCTCATGAATTTCATAAATGACCAGTGAGTGAGGTAATTCACTAGCCTGACTATAGAACAAAATAAGGACAGTCTGGAGGTAATTTTTCTGTTTTTCCTGCAAGTAGCAAGGACATTTGTAAAAGAAAGTGGTATTATTATTAAGCAATAATCTGTCCCCACCATGGGGAA